ATACTTGTTTTATCAAGTGGTATCAAAGCCTATTTAGTTTGAACGTTGGACTGCTTACAAATGTCCACTTCTGCAAGTTTCACATTTCATGTTTCACACACCAGAGCCCTTAGTCTTGGACATGAGGGGTGTGTGTTAAGATGTTCCATATTTGTTAGGAATAGAGCCCTTAGTCTTGGGCATAAAGGGTGTGTGTTAAGATGTTCCACATTCGTTAGGAATAGAGTCAGAATACTTTGTATAAGGGTTAGGATAGTCCTCCTCCTTATGTATAATACCCTTTTTATCTTTAGACTATTTGTCTTATATTGAACCACAAATAACATTAATTCATTTCTTTATTAATTTCCTACCATAATAATATGTAACATCTTATTATTTATATTATTTATTAAGAAATAAGGAAAGTACACCTCTTAAAGCTAACTAATAATCTTAAGTTATCATAAAAAGAGTTGAAAGAACAAATATTAAAGTGTTGAAAGAGAAAGTTCCAACTAAGATTCATAAGATAGGTTGAAAGAACAAACATACAAGAGAACAAATTTATCTTGTTTGACCATTAAATAAGAATGTATACTTTTCATTTTTTTCTCTATATTGATTTTTCTTTAATCCTTCCTTGCTTGTTTCTTTCTCGTTCTTTATTTTTTATAAACCAAAAATATAATCTTGTGATAAACCAAAAATATAATAATAATAATAATAATAATTTAGTTACTTTTATTCCTTTTTTGTTCTTTCTTTTTTATAAACCAAAAATTCAATCTTATGATAAATCACTAAAAAATATGAAATAATAATCTTTTAGTTAGTTTTTATTTCAATTTTTCTTTCCTTCTATTTTTACAATAAAAAAATCCACTCTTCTCATAAATCATAAAAAATTAAAGAATAATTTTTTTTAGTTAATTTTTACTCCTTTTTATTCTTTATTCTTGTTAACTAATAAAATTAAAATAAAATATTGTAATGAGTCATAAAATTATGTGCGTTTATGCTATTGTTATTGTTGTCTTTGTTACTCGAATTTGTGTGTAAATAATATATTTTTATTATGCATAAATAAAATAATAAAATAAAAATTCTCAAAAAATAAAATTTTGAATCAACACAATAACCAAGTGATATTGATGGAGTGTTAGATCTATTTTTTATGTCATTTAGATCGTAAAGATTTATTGAGTAAAAATGTACTAATTTAAATCTATGTAAAATTGGGTTTATACTTAATAGTAAAAAATAATATAAGTCTAAAATTATTTTCTTCACAAAATAGTTTTGAATCTATGCAACCACTAAATAATATTGATAAAATAGTGAATCTACCTTTAATGTTATTTAGATTGTAAGAATTTATTAAGTAATTATGTTCTAACTTAAATCTTACACACAAGTGTATTTATTTCTAAAATAAGAGAATTAATTTTTTAATAATAATATACTTTCAATTTCAATTTAATTTTTTTCAAAATTTAAAATATTTTGTTTCATCATTACAACTAATTTTTTTTAAATGTTCTTTTCAAAATTTAAATGAAAGACCATAGAAAAGATAGATTTTTAAATAAAATTAATATTTAAAAAATAAAAAAAAATTATAAGTGAAAATTAAATTTTGCCACACAATATGAAAATTTTTAAGAACTAAGCATTTTAACAAATTAAAAATTAACTTTTTTGAGTGCAAGGAAAAAAAAATAGTTTAATTCGAGGAATACTTATAAGCAAAAATTTAACACGTTAAGTTTAAAACATTTATAAAAAAAATTCTTTAATTCCAAAACACTAATTTTTTAGGTACTTTCTTTATCCAATTTTAAATTTAAAAATATTAAATAAAATGATTTCAAAATCTTCTTCTTTCAAAAAAAATAAAATTGTTACTTTTCTTAATTTCATTAAAAAAATAAAGCATCAAAATATTCTTTAAATCTATTTATTTTATCCAAAATAAAAAGAATAATAATTTTTATACACAATTCATTTCCTTAATTCAAATTAAAAAATTATTTTCTTTCTAAATTTGTGTTTTTTATAAATAGTAAATTAAAAGTTCTTATGAAAGTTCTAAAAAATAGGAATTATTTTCTTTAGGAGTGAATTAAATATTTTTAAGTCAAAATAATTTTACATAATTAATTAGAAAGTATTCATTTTATTTAATGAAGTGTCTTTTGTAGATATACTTGTTGAGTAATGCTAGTAACATACTCTCTAAATACTCTTTGTAACACATTTTCTATTATTAACTAAAATTTATTGAAAACTACAAAAATTATGTGGGTCTTACTCTTTCTCACTCTTAAATGAATGTTTCTCTCCCATGCTATTTTAATTTTTAATAAAGTTTAACCAATAATAAAAAGCGCATTAAAGAATGTGTTGCTAGCATTTCTTATGCTCCTTTGTTGCTTCAAGCTTGCATCTACCAACTTTGTAACAACCCACATTGGACTCACCTTTTTGGACTCATTAGAGTGATATCATTTCACTAATAACCTAAACTATATGTGAAAATAAATTTATAGTGTTATTTAATGGATATAAGTCACTTGAAAATCTTTAAACCCACACACCCAATGCTACTTTTTATTTTGGTGTAACTGATAAGTTCATATTTTGAAGTGCTTCTATAACTTATTTTCATATGCTTGACACTTATTTCATGGGAATTTGCACTTGTTTATTTATTAATTATTGCAGTTTACCATAAATCAATCACAAGTGAATTATGGGATCATTTTTGTCGCAATTGGAGGAAATTTGATAGAAAGAAGGGCTATGTTTAGTAGGAAGTACCGTCTTGCTTAACAACCAGTTAGAGGGTGTTTTATGATCATGCAAAACATGCTTGAGGGTATGCAAGGTCATGCTTTGCTCTTGGTTATTTTAAATTAAGAGATTTTTAAGGATTTTGAGAACTTTATTTAATGAACAATGAGGCTTTGCAACCCTGATTTTGGCTTGGTTGACTTTTGATGACTGTTGGAGGCTTTTAAGAGTAGAGATCATTGGTGAAGATGAAAAATACCTTTTAAGCGTCCAAACAAGTGATTAAGAGCACCTTTTGGGAACAAAAAAATATTTTCATCTCTCTTTTCCTTTGAGATTTCTTTAGTTTGTGATTTTTCTTTCGAATGAATATGAATTTTTTACATTTGTTTTCTTTGTCATTTTGTTATGGGTAATTAAATTTATAGATAAGGTTATGGTGGAACTTTTGCACATTTTATGTGATCTTATGTTTAATAACAATTCCATTTCTTTTAAGATTATTTTTTACCCTAGAGTGTGTACATTTTATGTTGGAAATTGGTCACTCTTAACATCTTATAATTGATTGCAGTGTAGGCATTCATACTACATGTAGTTAATGAAACTATAAAATAAAGTAAGATAAGAAATTAAGTGGACCAAACTTAATTTTTATCTTTCAATTAGTTATTAAATTAACAAACTCACATGTTTTTTATGTTTTTCTTCTCTTTCTATCTTCCACGACTATTAGGGGTGATAACTTAGAAAAAAATAATATTAAAATTGCATTGCATGATCATTAAGTATTAGTAGCTTTAGTATAAGTATTTGACTATCATAGGAAAAGCATGATTGTGGTTAAACTAAAAATGAACATAAAGATGTGTAAATGTGAAATTATATGCCCTAAGTTTATCTCTAATAGTTTTTATACAAAATTTGTGTTGTGTTCTTTTTTCTTTTAATTACTCTTGTTAGTTTAAATTTTTCATCAATCTCTCTTATTTTATTGCACATTATTCTAATTTAAGTAATTAAATCATGATATTATCAATAATTGAAAATATTTTTTTATGAATGATGTTCTAAAAATTCAATTTAAGAGTTTCTTTTATTAATTTTCAATCGATATATTTACCAATGAACAATGACACGTAATAATTCTTAAATCAACCCTAAAGAGTTGTTAAAAGAACTAGACATGATACTAAGCCCAACTATAATTCTAACATCTTACCATTATTAATTTTTATTGAAATCAAAATTCTTTTTTTTTTCTTTGAGCAAAAGAAACTCAAAATTCCTTTTCACAATCAAGAAAAAAAAACCATTTTTTTAGATTAATTGATTCAATTCCTTCCAACATTTCAACGAAGATGATTGATGGAGTGGTATGTTGTTGCATCCAATGTTATATTCTTGTTAATCAGTTGTTAAAAAAAACACTTTATACTTAGACATGATATTCTCCATTTATTTAATTCTTGCTGTCAAGTCCTCAAAACAAACACTAACTCTTTTCAATCAGTTGTTAAAAAAAGCACTTTATACTTAGACATGATATTCCCCATTTATTTAATTCTTGCTGTCAAGTCCTCAAAACAAACACTAACATGAGATTCCTTTAAAATTTCAAAATATATTTAAGTACAATATGATATATAAAAAATTCACAAATAGTAAATTTTTATTAAAAATTATAACATTTAATAGTTTTTAATACATTAAATTGCATTATTCTATAATTTTTTTAATAAAAAATTACTTACACATTCATTAACACCTCGTATAACACCAAATCTCAATCATACAAATCAAATAATCTAACAGTTAAAAAATATGTATGTAAAAAAAATAATAAAAAAAGATAACTTTTCAACTGTCAAATTATTTGATTTGTATAGTTGAAATTTTGTATAAGTTTTTTAGACTTACACCTAGTATCAATGGATCTTATTCCTATATATATATATATATATCATGATTAATGTAACACACATCAGAAAAATTGTTGTAAAATACACGTTAGTGTCATTGACTTGGAAATTTAGTGACATTATAAGGGCCTTGATTTGTTATTAAACGTCAACGAAATCTTCAGTTGACAGAGGTCATGGAGATAAAAATGACGGTCGAAACCATGTCATTGCCGAAGATCTTCACTCGTTAAGATAATTCATTCTGCGCAACCTTTTTGTATGAACAGTGAAGCAACAGAAAAGAGAACTTTTTCAGGCAAGGAGTGATTTTGATTTCAAGGGCATGCAACCCTCTATACAAAATCAGATTCATCCGAATGCTAGTGCAATTAAACATCTAACGGAAACGAGTTCTATAAATATAAGAGAATCTAGTTCGTTGTTCTAAGAATATACATTGCATCTTCACAGAATATTTGCAAGCTAGATCACTTCCAGGCAACAAATAGCGGGGAAGGAACAAAGACGCACTTGACAATTCTAAGGATGCTTCATTAATTAGACCTGACATTATAAAACAAAATGATAAATATTACTTATGAAGAACTGGTAACCGATCCATCAACCTTGGAACAAAATACATGGACCAGAAACAAGTAGAAAGCAAAATGTTCAACAATGGAATGTGGAGAGATTAGGAACATATGACACAAGTTCTACACAAACATACCTAGGAAATATTAGCTTCATTCGATGAGAAGGGGTAGAGCAGAAAGAATTGGGGATGGATTTAGCTCTGATAAGAGTCAGGAGTAAAATTAATACATTAGAATAAGAAATCAATCATTATTCTAAGCATGAAAAAAGCATAAATAAGAACATACCTCCAGATTCATTTCGGAGCCAATCTTGCGTGCATATTAAAGCCTCTCGTGTATCAGGGTTTAGTGAACTACGAGAAGAATCGAGCATTCTTCCCCCAGTGCTAAATGCCAATTCTGGTGTCAAAGTTGACATTGGAGTTCCAAGAACATCACGTGCCATCATAGACAAAATTGGGTACCTTGGCATGTGGACTTTCCACCAGTTCAATATGTTAAAATCAGAATTACGAGGAAAGACTGGTTCCTCTAAATACTTGTCTAAGTCTGATGTCATGGACTGACTCTGTGATGTCTCATGAAGGAATCTGTCAAAGCCTTTTAGTCTATCTCTGGAACCACAACTTGTACTAGGTAAACTGCTACCAGGCAAGGCTGAGCCTTGATCAATCATAGTTGAACAGATCGAATATGCATTAAATAGTTCTTTGATACCATCAGAAACTTCCTTAATACGTTCCAAAGCAGTACTGCCATAAATCAGGGAGTAGTAGTACTCAACCAACTTCATTTTGAACCGAGGATCTAGGACAGCAGCTACTGCTAAAGCCAAACTGCACTTGCTCCAGTACCTATCAAATTTGGCTTTCATCTTTGAGGCCATGGAACTAAGAAAATCATCTGAACTTCTGCACCAATCAATTAATTGAATATGGACATCACAAATCTCAGGGAAATATATATTAGCTGTAGGAAATTTGTTGCCTGAAAAGACATTCATAATTTCAACTAAAAGTTTTAAATATCCAGTAACAGAACCAGCCCATTCCCACTCTTCATCAGTTAGAGCTGATGAATAAGAGGGATCATGTTCTTGGAAGAGAGAAAAAGCACTCCTGTATTCTAGCGCAGTCTCAAGCATGAGATACGTAGACTTCCAATGAACTGGAAAGTCAAGAAATAAGATCTTTTGAGAGTTAATCCCGGCATGTTGAGTACTTTCATTAAATTTTCCTTGCACTAATTGTGAACTTCTAATATATCTGACGCTCTCTCTAATCTTTTGGATCACCTCATGCAAAGCATCCGTGGCATCTTGAACAATGGAATTTAGAAGATGTGCAGCGGAACGTATGTCAAGTAATTGTCGAGTACTTAAAAAGGGCCTTTTCTCAGAAACTCGTTCTTTGATTCTAAGAGTGATGTCATCATCAATGGAACAATCATCAAGTGTCAGGGCAAAAAGCTTGCAGTCAATATCCCATTCACCGAGACATTTGATAATCACTTCTGGAAGTAAGTCTTCAGTATGTGAAGAATCAAGTGTTACAAAGTTCAGGATTTTCTTTTGTAGTGTCCATTCCTCATCAATATACTGTGCAGATAGACACAAATACGAAGTATTTTCAGTTGAAGACCACATTTCAATAGAAAGATTAATCCTACCATGTAGTTTGTTTATCATGTCATACACTTTCTCTTTCTCCCTCCTGTAGATTTCTATACAAGAAATCTCCACAGCACTGTTAGGCAGAAACTCAAAGAGAGGCTGGAGGTTCTTCACAAAGACCTTGAATCCTACTTGTTCAACCAAGGTCAATGGGTATCCATGTAATATGATCATGCGTGCAAGATCAAGTTGACTCCTCTCCTGATCAAATTTACTACTTCCAAAGTTGATGATTTCATCTTTCTTATGCTCCTGTTCAAACTTGATGAGTGCTGGTTTTATATATTCTTCTTTCCTCTGACCTTCATCAAAACTAATGTTTGCTAGGCTGATGGTGTTATCCTTTTTCCTTCTCTTTGCTGCAAGAAGTTGAGACACATCAAAGTTTGATCTTTTCAGACACCGCATCAAGTGATTTCTCAGATGAGTGGTTCCGCTGTTACTTGATCCACTAAGTTTCTTGTTACAATGCACACAAACAGCATAGCAGATGTCAGCCTTTCTAACCCTTTCAAAATGATTCCAAACGACAGATGTCAGCCTTTTTGGTTTCTTAGTACCTGAATCATTTGATATTTCCATTACATAGGCTTTAGATCACCAATATTCTGCATGTCACACAAAACTAAGTGATAAGTCATCATCCAAAAAATTACATGAGATTAAAAATAAATTCATAACTTCAAAATTTGTTAAGCAGAAAAGCATGAAGAAAGGCCTAGTGCATGAGGGTCCCACCAAAGTGAGGTCTAGATAGAGTAGATTTACAAAAATTACCCCTACAATAATATTGTTTATAGGATTTTAACTCGTGACAGACCATAAGGAAGAACTTTCTTTTATTTTAGACCACAAGTATCCTCTAATAAGATGTAAGAAACTAGTTCAAGAAGAACAACCAGAAGAAAAAGACTTTTCTTTACTGAATATTCTCAAGGGAAACTGAATTACCCACACCATATACAATGAATATTCCCAAGAATTCTGAGAGCCTGGCCTCTCCCAACCCAAATCCAAGTGCCTAACCGAAAAGCTCCTTTCTTTTCTTTTTTTTTCTATTTATTCTTAGTTATTTACAACTATCTCAAGTAATTGGGCTTCTCTAAATCTTTTGGACTTAGATTCCTTTCTGTTGAGGATTGTCATGACTTCAGATAATAATTGGTGGTAGGGTGTAATGGTAGTACCAATAGCCTTCTTTAGATAATATGACCCAAGAATTCTATTTAATTCTGGCCAAAAGTGCACTTCTTGTTGGCAAACAATTGTTGCTTCTTCAATAGTTTTAGAACTATTTATTTGAAGATGATTCCATGTTCCTCCTCATTCTTACTGTAGATTAGTATGTCATTAAAAAAAAAAACCAAGACAAACTTAGATATGATTGCAGTACCTCATTCATTAATGACTGGAAAGTTGATAGGACATTGATTAATCCAAATGGCATCACCACAAACTCATAATTCCCTTCATGCATCTTGAATGCAGTTTTGGGAATATCCTCTTCTCTCATTTGAGTTTGATGGTGTCCAAATTTAAGGTCCAATTTATAAAAGATAAGGTCGCCCCCCCTCTTCCCAATTCATCCAACAATTCATCAATGTAATCTTCTTTAAGGCCCTATAATCCACACAAAATTTCCACCCTCCATCTTTATTCTTGACAGGAATGATTGGACTAGAATAGAGACTCACACTTGGCCTTATGATACTAGAGGTTAACATATCATTCACTAGTTTCTCTATCCCAGTCTTCTAGTAATGAGAGTACTTGGATGATCTCAGATTGGGAATTTTAGCTCCTTCCTTCAACACAATAGTATGATCTCACCTTCCTGATGGTGGTAAACTCTGGTTTTCTAAATACTTCCTCAAAGTCTTCTAAAATCTTCTTAGTGTCTTGTGGAATTGTCTCCTCAACATCATTTTCTTTAGTCAATTCCTTGCATTCTAGGAGAAACCCTCTTGAAAAGCTTTAACCAATTCTTTGAAGGATGCGGCAGTCCTAGACAATGTTGGTTCACCCCTCAATACTAGATTCCTTCCTTAGGCACCTTCAAGGTGATCTCTTTAAAGTTAGCTCTGATTTCCCCCAATCCAGCTAGCCATTCTATTCCCACCACCACATCCACCCCTCCTAAGTCAAATATGAAGAAATCTTGTTGGATTTTATCCCTTGAATCTGAAGTATTATCTTATGACAAACCACTCTACATTTAAACCTCTCTATTTAATTCTTCTCCCATCCCCCACTCCACTGTGTACATTGTTGGCTTAGTTATTGTAAATTGTTTTTCCAGAACAAAGGTAAATGATATAAAATTGTGAGATGCTCCACAATCCACTACAGCCACCCTTGTGCTTCCAATCTCTCCCCACATTTTGATTGACCTTTTGGAAGTTAATTCAATGATACTATACATCATAGTTATAATTCTTTAAGCTCTGCTCCCTCCCCTTCTTCTCCTTCACTTATAACTATACTTAAAATTAGCATTTGGAACTGCTTACTTTTACACACGTCTAGGACTGAATTTCACATCACACCGAACAGACAAGCCTTTACTTGCCTTTTCTTGAAACTCTGCATCTGTCAATTTCTTGAACCACCTCCTTCTGTAAGATCATGTTGCTTTTCTTGGCCTCCATCACCACCATTGTCGCTTGCAACTTCTCTTGCTCTGAGATGCCCCTTATGTTCAAATATCTCTCCACTTGACTAACCCACCCATAGGTGTCGTCTCCCGAAAATAGGAGAATTTCTAATTTCCTCCATTGATCTCCTTTGGGTTTATATCTAGACCCAATGCCCTTGCTTTTATTCCCTTCATTCTCGTCATCACATCCCTCCAATTTCATTGTTGAAATCTCATTTTTTTGAGGGTTCTGATTGAGGCTGGCCATCACTTCGTCAAAATGTCTTCTTGTTTCTTGCCTATCCTCCTGGAGCCTCTTTAAAACATTTTCATACCTCTCTTCACACTTTCTAATCTAGCCTCCATTCTCGTATGTACCATGAATGTCCTCCCAGGATCAAGAGTTTTGATACCAGTTGTAAGAAACTAATTCGATTTTTGAAAAACAACCAGAAGAAAAAGACTTCTTTTTATTAAATATTCTCAAGTGAGACTAAATTACTCACACTGAATACAATGAATATTCCCAGGAATTCGAGAGCCTAGTCTCTCCCAACCCAAATCCAAGTGTTTAACGCCCCCTTCTCCTTATATATATATATATGTGTGTGTGTGTGTATTTTCTACTTATTCTCAGTTATTTACAACTGCCTCAGCTAATTGGGCTTCTCTAAATCTTTTGGGCTTTGGTTCCTTTCTCTCTTTACAGAAACTTGTCTAAGTGGGGTTTGGGCCTACTAATAACATAAGAGAATCTTGTTTAAGCCAAAAACATCTAAAGCACGATAAAGCTAGCTCTCTCAGCTTTCAAATTTTCCACACACAAGGTCTTACCTAATGGGAATCAACAACATAGCACTTCAACCAACCACCCATTGGACACCAAACTCACTTTCACAAAATTACTTAATGCAGCACTTTACGGTTGTGTCAAGATTGACCCTCATATGAATAAGGGAGAAAAATAAAGCTGAATGATGTAGAGGTATAAAGCTTGGCTTTTAAAGTTCATTTACTCAAACCTTACAAGAATTTAGACTGGCAGTACCACCAGAGTTTAAAATCTTCAACCAGTTATGTCGCATTACTCAAAAGTAAGGTTTTAAATTGCGAGATACATCACATGATGCAACGCTAAAATCTCGGTTGCGGCAGTTGCAACGGCATCAAGCTGTGATTGCAGACTACATAACCCAAAATTGGTCTACAAGAGCCTAAAACACACCACAATTTAAAACACTGCCCAAATTAAAGATGTCTACTTAAATCTTAGAATACTCTCATCAGAATCGATGACATATCTTGATTCAAACTCACGTAACCTTAACGATCACAGTTAATTGGACGGGAAAAAACAAAATTGGGTAAGTCTACAATTGGAAACATTGCACTGTCACAACTTTACATGAATATGAAACATGACCCTCTAAATAAAGGTAAAAATATTCAGAAATGTTTTGCAATTTTAAAAACAAATTTAACCGTCAAATAACGTAATTCCGAGTAGAAAGTAGAGGGAAAAGAAAGAAAGTTGAATGGAAGAGAGAGTGCGTCTTACTTGGAGAGAGAGGATGGTGGTTGCGGGGTTTGAGTCCGATCGGATGGCCCGGCAGAAAACGATGGGGATTGGAGAGAGAGAGAGAGAGAGAGACACAGAGAGAGAGAACCCGATGATGATGCTTGTTTGGACTTGGATCCGATTCCGATAGGGTATACCCAAATTGGGTGTTATGAAAGAGAAGAGATAAACGGGTGGGTGGGTCAAAATCTCGGGTTCTATTCGTTGTGTCGTGTGTTCCGCTTTGGGTTCTGAAATATTGGACGAAATCAACCTGGAAATTGGATTATGGCACCATTCTTAAAAAATAAAAATGAAATTTTTTTAATAATATTAAAAAATATTAATATGATAAAAATATTAAAAATAATAACTATTTATTAAAAATCATTTTTTACATTGAAAAAGTAAAAAATAATAAATATTATTTTTAATAAGAATTTACTATATTTAAAAATGAAGTTAATAAAACAATAATAATAATATTTTAACTATAATTTTTAGAGTTAATTTTAAATATTTCAAAATATTAAAGTTTGATTTTAAAAACTTTATATATTAAATATATTTTAAATAAAATTTAGTTATTATTAATTGCTTAAATTTTATTTAAAAAATTAAAAATTATAATTTTTTATTTTACAAAGAAAATATTTACATTAATGATGACAATTTGAATAAATTAAATTAATTAACACATTAATATTGACCACATATTATCATGCACATTTTAGGTTATATTCAATTTAAATAATATGTGTCTTGTAATATATATAAATATATTAAACAAATATGGACATTAATTATTTAATAATCTACTAGTGTAATTATTATTAATATTTTGCATTCTAACATCTTTGATTTTGTTGTATAAAATCAATTTATTGTGTAGAAATTTATATACGTGTAATTATTATTAACATTATACTTAGAGTATTAAAATGTTAAAAATAAACTAAAAAAATAATTAATTAATTAGAATGAAAGTTAAAAAATTAAGTCAAAACTTGAATTAAAATTATTTAAGTAAAATTCATTTGAATCCAATTTTTTTTTTTATAAATTTTAAACTCTTCTTCGTATACATCAAGTAACACAAGGTCACAATATTAGAACTTGATAATTTATACACTTAATATGTTGTATATAATATATGTAAATTTAATATTTTTCTTTTGTCATAATTCAATCATTAAACTCTATTCTATTAACAAATGTGAAATGTTTATATTGATTAATATTACTTAAATGATTGGGTTATACTACAAATCTCATTTAACCATATAAGCAGACTTTAACAATTTTCACCCATCTATAATTTAATTATGATAATATGAAGTATATCAAATCAACTTGTTTCATTCATTTAACTTTAGCTAAAAGGTGGAGTATGCTCAATTTGTGATCACCAATTAAATGAGTTTAAATGTATATACATATGTGCATTAAAGAAAATTATTTTTTTCTACATGTCTCATTCCATTTATAATAAAATAGAATATAAAATATCAATGAGTTCATAAACTTGGTTAGAAGTAATTTATCCAAATTTTCATGAAAATATTTTAAGTATTCATAAACCTAAAAGCATAAGTACCGATCATCGTAGTGCAAAGAGAGAGTCCATTACACCTCATCAAAAGAAACAAATAAATCATACACTTTACCACACTACTAGTGGAATCTAACTATAGCAAAAGGTAACTAAAACAAAATAGATTATGACTCTTCCAAAGGGTCCTCCTCCATATCCCTAACATTTGAGAGATTTTCATCACTAATCTATCCTCCTTAGTGAGAGGAGTTGGGAAGGTCACTAACAAACCTACATTGTTAAGGGACAGGGACTAATTTTTAAGCTATGGTTTCAAACCTAGGCCTATTAAGATGTTGGGTGATAGAGTCTTCAGACATAGGTTCCTAAGGCTTGAGGATGTAGGAAGAAAAATCATCTAAGGAGTCAAGTTCTACTATAAGGGGTTGTCTTTGGTAAATGACAGAAGGTATAGGAATAGTGATGATAAAAGGTGTGCAAAAAATAACACGATTTGGGATAAGGGCAAAAGTAGTCTAAAAAAATACATACAACTACTTCACCAGTGAAAGTACTCTTAATAGATGGGTGCATAGGGTGTCACCAAGCTAGGGAAGAGAGGGTGCTGGTGACACTACCAACGCCCCTCCACTTGCGGCGTCTATCATGCTTCGATCCATAAGGTGTAGTCCCTCATAAAAGTATTGTATCAATAATTGATCACTAATTTGATGGCGGGAGCAGCTAGCACACAACCTCTTGAATCTTTCCCAATATTCATAGAGGGTTTATCTTTCAAGCTGTCTTATCCCACAAATTTCCTTTCTTATAGATGCAGCTCTTGATGTTGGGAAAAATTTCTCCAGAAAAAGCCTCTTCAAGTTATCCCAACTGATAATAGATCCGGGAGGGAGATAGTAAAGTCAATCCTTGGCTGCATCCATCAGAGAGAACGGGAAGGCCTTTAATTTGACATGCTCCTCAGGCATACCTTGTGGCTTTATGGTCGAACAAACTATGTAGAATTTCTTGAGGTGCTTGTGTGGATCTTCACCTGCAAGACCATGGATACTGTATGAATAAAGTTTGATAAGTTACATCAAGTGCAGCCAGTTCCTTTAATGTTCTTTCATTGTCAGCCATTTGGTCCAATTCAAAATTTAAAGAATGTGGTGATGAGTAGATAGATGAAGGAGATGAAGGTTCCTCAAAATGTTCAGAATTATGTCTATGTAATCTAATGTTACTATGAAACGTCCTATCAACCTTTGGTCGTGTCACCAATACCCTCTCTTCCCCAAGGTATTTCTAGCGTCCCTATCTTTCACACCTTCAGTGTATCGCTGAACCATTCATAGCATATGCACAATTGCATTTAACATGTCCTTTCACACACATTTCAGCCACATACAATATTCATATTCGCACATGGCACACAGGCCCACATTATTTCATAACACACGGCACACAGACCCACATTATTCCATAGTACACGACACATATGCCCATATTCCACCACACAAGGTTCAATCATACAGTTTTTATCATAATATCCCTACAGGCATTCATTTCATCATATCTGATATTTCTCAATATCGATAATACTAAGTTCCTCACAATCTTTCCACCACAATTTCACTATAATTAATCAATTCTACCAAACAAATATTTCAAACCATCCACATGACAATACATAGTAAATTACATGGCATTCAAACACAATGAGATAGGGTAGAGTTTCCCTTACCTCAGATTGAAGATCTATACATGAAATCAACCTAGAAAGTGCTCCCCACCCGAATTTTGTCCTAAATATATGGAAGAATCCCATGAGGACCAATGGGGAACTAAGAAAACAGAGAATGGGGATGAGAAACTAAAACCCTAACCATTAAACTTATCTCCAAATGCCCTAAAATCGTTTTCAACCTTCAATCTTATTCCCAAACGGCTTTGGAGGCAATTTAATCGATAAGAATGGGTTGAGTTGAGAGAATCGAAAGGAAAATGAAGAGAGAAAAGTGAGAATGAGTTTTCTAAATCCTAGACCCTTCAAATACTCTTATGGTCGCGACACTCTCGCTAGAGCGAGATATTATAGATCTGCAACGACACTGTCTTTCGCTACAGCAAAAATATCAAAGAAAACTGCACTCTGATTTCTGCAGAATCTCGCTACAACGAGATTGCAACCCATAATGCACCCCTCTTTGTTGCCTTCTCGCTAGAGCTAGAATGCAACAGTAGCACCCCTTACGCCCAAGACACTCTCACTACAACAAGAATGCCTCTGTAGTTAACACTTAACCTATTTTTAGTCCAATCCCAATCATATATAACTATTCCAATTCCACCACAAACCAATACACGTGCTTATACTCACATTCAAACAAGTCTACATCATCACAAATACATATATTCTCATCACCATATATATACCAAACACAAAAATACATGAAAATTCACATAAACACTTATATTAATAATCAAATAATATTACAAAATTTTGGGCGTTACATTTCAGACCCATGAAGGTCATTATGAGTACTTAGTAATGCCTTTTGGGTTGATGAATGCCCCTTTCATTGTCCAATCTCTAACGAATGAGGTATAACGTGAATTATTGAGAAATGCATCCTTGTGTTATTTGATGATATATTAATTTATAGCGCTAATTAGGATACTCATTTGAGACATTTGGAAGAAGTTTTGGGTATTCTGAAATTGCAGCAGTTGTTTACTAATAGGAAAAAAAAATGCTAGTTTGGCCAAACAAGCATTGAATACTTGGGATATATCATTTCTTTTCAAGGAGTGATTTAGATCCTGAAAAAATCAACACTGTTTCACACTAGCCAATTCCCAAATCAATAAAAGGTCTACGTTGATTTTTAGGATTAACAAGGTACTACTAGAAATTCATTTAGAACTATGGAAAAGTTGCAAGACCCTTAACTGAGTTGACAAAGAAAGATAGGTTCTATTGGAATGAAAAAGACCCAAAAAGCTTTTGAAGAATTAAATGTAAGAGTAACTACAGCTCCAATATTAGCTTTGCCAAACTTTAAGAAAGAGGTTGAAGTGGAGTGTGATACTTTAGGCATTGGAATTAGGGGTATTCTTATGCAAGAGAAAAAATCTACTGCATATTACAGCAAAGTTCTGAGTGACAAAAATATTTTCAAGTCAGCCTATGAGAAGGAACTTATGGCTATAGTCCTAGCCATTTAGCATTGGTGTCGCTATTTGTTAGGGACAAAGTTCAAGGTGTATACAGACCATAAGAGTCTCAAATAGCTGTTAGCAATGTGTGATCACCCACAATCAACAAAATTGGTTAGCCAAGCTTTTGGGGTATAGCTTTGAGATTGTATACAAATTGGGGTTTGAGAACAAAGGGGTAAATGCATTGTCTTGGCGTGGAAAAGAGTTGGAGTTTCACTCTGTTGTGTATTTTCCTATATGGTTAGACAATTAGGCCATCATAACAGAGGGCCATGCGGATGAAAAGTTGAGGAAGATCATTGAGGAGCTAG